ATTTGGTTGGGAAAGGGGTTGCTGCGATGACATTTTTTTTTTTTTTTTTTTTTTTTTTTTTTTTTTGTTACAATGGACCACGGATCAGATCTTAAACTGATCAGAACAGATACTAAACTGATCAGAACAGATACTAAACTGATCAGAACAGATACTACACTTTATCTTAGCCAAAAGGCCAAGAAAGGTATGTTGCGATGACAGTTTAATAAACACATACACACAAGGTCCGGCACAGTCGTGCTCTTTTTTGTGGAGTGGTGCATAGTGGGCATGACAGACAACACGCAGACAGTCCGGCGCAGTCATGATGCTTTGTGCATAGCGCATAACAACAGACTCACACACAAGGTACAAGTGTGCCTAGAGGCAAAGGGGTGTGTAGCATCATCTGTGCAAATACACAGATTGAAGGCCTTCTTGCACCATCGAGAAAAAGACAATAGTGCGATTGCCAATTCGTAGAACAAGGTAAGGCTACAAGGCAAGGCTGTTTCTATTTTGGAATTTGATTGGATGAATCTGGATGGAGAAAGGTTGGTGTGCTGATTGGTTTCCTTTGTTCCTGTTCTTCCAAGTGGTTGGCCACTTTGCGTGAACTCTTGACCTTTTCCCATGTTGTGCTCCTTGGTGGCGAAGTTTAGCACCTTCCACATGTGCCAAATAGTCGTTGCCTGCTTGATTGGAGGCCGTGCACTGCAGCACGACCGTCTTTACCTGCGGTCATTATTGTTTTTTTTAGAGTCGAAGTTGCCCCAAACACAGCCAGCTATTTAATGACCGAGCGTTCTATTCGGGCGAGGATGGTGGTATGGGGACTGTTGTGCCCAGGGTGCCTGTGTCTACCTGCTCACTGGTTGTGACAGACATTCGTCTTGTGGTTCCCTGGCTCTTCATGGCAATCTGTAGGGCTTCTACTTGTGATGGGAGAAGGTGATGATCTTCTTTGGTCTACTGTCTACGTTTCGTATGTGTGAACTGCCTTCTTGGTGCTTGCCCCTGCTTGCGCTGTCCTGACTTGCTGCCCCTCCACTTGCCTTGCTCCTGTGGCTCAGGTTTGCTGCTTGCCTGCTCTAATTGCGGACCCGGTTTTTTCGCTGCTTTAATGCTTTGCTTCTGTATTTACTATTAGACTAGTGTTAGTATTTACTATTTAGTACTATTTACACTTTTCTCAGTTTTCTGTGCCTTTTTCCCCAAGTTTTATGCATATGAAGACACAGTGGGGCAGTCAAGGTGCACAAATTTTGACCAAAATGTTTTGCTGCTTTGCTTCTTCTTAGACTTCTTCCCTATTTTAGAGCATTTTATACTTATCTGTGCTCCCCCCCCCTCCCCCTCTTTTGGCATTTTGTTCTGTGGATGCTGCTGTTGCTGCGCAGGTTATTCAGTGGCGGAAGTCTGATTGGATTACTCTTTTTTTTTTTTTTCTATTCATTTCTGTTCCTAGTGTTCTTTTACTTCCTATTATTACATTGTATCCACTTGTCCTGATCGGTTACAGCTCGGGATGACGATGGCAGCTTCGGTGCGTTAAGGCAGGGCCGGGGGAGAGACAGCACCTCCACAAGACGAAGACAGGGGACATGACATCAATCAACGGAGGGGGGAACACAAGTTCGTGTTCACCGTGAAAGCTTGGCCTGTGAAACGCCGCCGCTTTCTGAGGTAGGTTGGAGGCAACATCCGGAGGATTGGCATCGCCAGGGACGAGGAAAGACTAGGAAGTGCCTTACGGTGGAGGGGAAGCACCTTGTGCCGGAGGATCAGAGAGGGCTGGCCGCCATTGAGGGACAAAGAGATTAGAGGGGTTGATCATCAGTTGGAAGTACTAGTATGGACGTTACGGGATGATAAGCTAGGGACTGTGCTGGTCATTGCTGGCTGGAAGGTAGACAGATGGGATTTTTTGCCGCCTCTACTGTGCTGAGTCAGCAATAACAATGAGCCAGCAATAACCGTGATTAGCATGCTGCTAATCCGATTGGTCAGTTTTGCTCGGTCTCTCTCTCTCTCTCTCTCTCTCTCTCTCTCTCTCTCTCTCTCTCTCTCTCTCTCTCTCNTAGAGTTATGATCCCTGTCAAATTCCAAAGTCCCTCCCTTAACGCCCTTCCAGGCTTAGAACTTTACCTCATCACTTTTCCCTATATTCTGTTGGTGCGAGTTTGCTCGTTTTCTTTGTTAGCAACTTGCTCCGTATATTGCTTGTCCTGACGTTGCGGGTCAGCCAGCTATGTTTGAGAAAACAATTCTTCTTGATTTCAACTGATGACAGTCGGAGACGTCTTTCGTTCCTTTTTTCTTTTTTTCTTTTTCTTTTTTTTGACGTCTTTTGTTCCTTACGTACCACAGTCTTCGACTTTCGGACGGGTAGAGTAGTAGTAGTATTTGGACAGGCTTTGACTGCAGGGAGTCTGGGGTTTGGTTGGGGTGGAGAGAGAGGAGAGGGAAGGGGGGCACATCTAGATGTGTATAAGAGACAGCTGTGTGTGTGTGTGTGTGTGTGTGTGTGTGTGTGTGTGTGAGAGAGAGTGTGTGTGCTCCCAAAGAGGGTCTGCACTCGTGTGTCAAAGTCTTCCCTCTCATGAGCATGTGAGTACGGTAGTTCATATATCAGGTATCTGAGGACTAGAGATTTGTGATGAGATTCGAGTTCTGTTTTTAGCTATATAGACTTAGAATCGGAGAAATCGAGTGAATGGGCAGGTTTCAGTCCTGCTCTGAAAGAGAAAGTGTATAGGTAGAGTGGGCGTGAGGCGGCAGCAGAAGAGAAGCTATGCCCTTGATTTGGCGAGAAAGATTGTTGCGTTTTTTTTTTTTTTTTTTACTTTTTCCAGTACTGTAGTTGAGGTTCTTGTCATCTTCCAAGCAGCTTGAACTTCTTCTTGGCTTCAGTTTGTCTTTGGAGGATCGGCGAGCATGGGTGACTTGAGTTCTTCTTAACAAGTTGCCTTCCTATTGATTGCGAGCAAGGATTCATGCAAACAGGGTAAGGGTCCATAGCAGCACGATCTGGACCTTCGACCATTAGGTTACAGAGCTGAGGAGTGCAAATAGATTTTTCTGCGCGTAACGTACTGGTTTCCCGAGTTGAGCATGTTGAGGAAAACCATGGTGGTTGCATTCACACTGAGGCAAAGGATTGGTGAGAATGGCCCCCTGGTTGGATTCACACTGCGACAATTTTCTACAGACCGAGAGGGTGGCGGGCACTGAGAGGGAAGCGAAGAACCCGCAAGAAGAAGACGCGAGAAGAAGATGGCATTGTGAACTGCGAAGAGACGCGGAGAGGGGAGAGAAGAACCCACAATTTTCTTGTCAGTGCTCTTCACTCCTTGGTAGCGCATGTGTTGCCAAGAAGTAAAGAGCACTCGCAAGAATGCGACATGCGCTACCAAGGAGTGAAGAGGACACTTTTTTGCATGAGTGTGGATTTGGCCGTCCTCAACGATACACAAGTGAACAGATGCAGTGCACCTCAAATGTAGAGGGGAGGACTTTCATGGTACGTATCATTGCTCTCTTTGCTCTTCTCTTTTGTGTTGTTGGGCTGCCTATCTTGAATAACGTAGTGGTGATATGATCAAATTAAGCCGACACTTGATGGTCTTGCTCTCGCTTTTTGCAGCAACCCAGAGAGTGCAATAGAAGGAGAGGGAGGGGGGGGGAGGGATGGATGGAGCATTGACCAGCAGGATGGGCTGCAAGAATCAGGAGAGTCACAACTCTTTCAGAGAGCATGAGCTGTGCAATGGCATGGCTTATGTGGGCACGCCTTCAGAGACCGCCTGCACATGATGGCGATGACCCATGTATTCGGTTCAGTAGCATGGTCTTGTGTCCATCATTTTGGTGGCTTTGTAAGCTGGGCATACTCTGCACCGGTCTTTAGCGAAATGATTGTAGCCGACCACTCAAGCTGGAAATAGCACAGTAGTGTTAAGCCGCATATTTTGCGTTGCCGGTGGAGAGGTGATGTTCTTCGGTCAGCAGGATGCTCCATGCTTCAGTGCAGGTGATTGCTAATATGCGATATTGCCAGTAGTTTTCATGGTCCAGGTCTGGCAGCCTTGGCAGGTTCTTTGTTAGGAGATTGGAGGAGGTGGAGCTGGGGCAAGCAAGGTTCGTGCATACACGACTCTCATTCTATATTGACTATGCGGTTCGAATCGGCAAGCAAGTTACTCAGTGCGCATGCCGAACGTGGGACGCAATGCTATGCTTCCATTTCCATGCAGTCCAGGCGTCTCCTCGCTCACAGGTTGCTTTTCTGAGAGAGAAGTGAGTTTGTGTGTGTGTGTGTGTGTGTGTGTGTGTGTGTGTGTGTGTGTGTGTGTGTGTGAGAGAGAGAGAGAGAGAGAGAGAGAGAGAGAGGGAGAGCGGTGTGTGTGTGTGTGTGTGTGTGTGTGCGCCTTGCGGTTAGAATGTGAAGTTATTGGTCCGTCGTTCCAAGCCTCAGTGTGCCAGCCTTTGGCAGTATTTCAGAGGGAAGCAGATGGGTGGATGCCTTGGAAGGACAGGTTGCAATCTTATGCATCCTATTTTGTCCAGTCTAACTTGTTGGTCTGCGGTGGCCTTGAGGCAAGTCAAGGGGGAGTTGGCTGCTGCTAGGCAGGACGAGGGAGAGGATGGTCAGTTAGCGCGCCTGTCTTGTCCTCGTGGTGTAGGTGCAAATGTGCAATGCTCGCTAGGTACAGTCGTGGCCTTCCTGTCTAATAAGTGCTCCATGATGGTGCGTCTGGGGGAGTGCACATGTGATGTCGTCGTCAGATATAATTGGATTCGATTTTGACAACCAGTGAACGGTCTAGATCCTATGCTGGGATTCTATGGATGGCTCACTCTGTCCATGTCTCTCGTCACTTTCCTCTACGAGGACGGCTGCAAAAAGTAGGGCGGAAAATTTGCCGCCAGAGCGGTGCGAAAGAGGAAGAGAGAAGGCGGTCGAGATCGTTCAGCGGAAGCTGTGCACTGGTCCACTGGTCATTTTGCTGTTGTCAGTCTACCGATGGGATCCGGCATTCCATCGGCACCGCCGTTCATCACGATGGATGATGCGGCAATGCAGGGTGCTGAAGATGCATGAGCTGAGATGCATAGAAGAACAAGAGTGTTGCTGAGCATGGTGGATCTATCGTGGTTCTTTTAAAACCTTTTTCCAGAGAGAGCAGGGATTGGCAACCTCACACCGCAGCTTTAGTCCCAGTCGGACAAATATCGCAATAAGGATGATGCGGGCAATGTACGCTTTCCTGAAAGTTAACAGCGCATCATTGGTCTTTGATTTCACGGTTCGTTTTCCATTTGTCTGCCTTGGTGCCATGTGTATGCCTTCCGGGTGGATGTTGCAGGGTGGGGTGGGGCAGGGTCACGAGGTGCTCTCTGACTGTGAGGGGAGGCTTGGTCCGTCTTGTATTCGCAGGTTGTGACGGGGCTCTGCTCCCGCATGCAGTCCCTTCATTGTGCGTCTATGCTCTAATCGTCAGCATGTAGTGGACATCCTTGCCTTGTTGCTGTTGCCTCTGGTACTGCGCTTTCAAGAGGGCAAGTTACAAACTCTCTATCACTGACAGCTCCCTCGTTCCCCTCCCCTTCTCTCCCCCCCCCTCCTCTACCCTCCCCTCCCCTCCCCCCTGCCCCTTCCCCAAAATACATCATGCCCTGAGCTAACATCCTTGCTCTCTTATCCCTTTCCATAGCTCAAAGAGATTGTCCTGTCTATGGCCCGCTTCCACCACTTGTTCAATTGGATGTTGTTCCTTGCGACCTCTCTTTTGTCTGCAGTGCGCGACAGACATACGGTCACACATTTCTCTCTTTTTCCTCTGTGCCGGGCGCTTTGTTCAGAGTCGAATGCCTCATGTGGGGAATCCATGCCGGCTGTTTTCTGTGTGTCTCATTGCGATCTCATAGAGGGATCGTGTCGTAATTGTCCGTCTCGTCTGGAGCTTGTAGAGGGACATTATCGTAATTGCCTACCTCTCTTTTTTTCTCTTTTCCCTGTACGTCCAGGCATTCCGAATCCATAATCCCAAATAAATAATATATTTAGATAAACAGCACACCCATCTTTCCAGTAGTCCCGCGATCAGCCTTTCTCTTTTTTGTTTTAATTCAGGCATGTTGAGTCCGGTGATCAGCCTTTGTGTGACTGCCCGTCAGAAGTTATCGCAAAGTTATCATACAACGATGTCTTCATAAACGTCAACGCAACCAAGATGCTTGCCTGCATATAAGGTGCAGCAGGTTACTTAAATAAGAAACAAACTTTAACAAAGTATATATATATTGATATTGATTTTTTTTTTCTTTTTTGAAGTTTTTTTCCAAAATTTCCCTGATATTAATATTTATGGATATAAAGATGGGAATACTAGGTCGATCCAATTCTATTGTAGTTCTAGATGGCAATTTATTTCCTTTTATTATATTATAATATATATATAATATTATATATATACATTTATACAAGTCGGTGAAACTCCGACGAAACAGTTTGTCACAACCCCTCCCTCGTTTGTTGTCCTCCTCTTTTCCCTCCCCTCCCTCTCTGCCTACGGTTTACCAGCCAGCTCTGTTTGACGATATATATGTATACGATATATAGTATATACATGTATAGCAGCCCCTCGTTTGTTGTCCTCCTCTTTTCCCTCCCTCTCTGCCTACGGTTTATCGGGCAGCTCTGTTTGACGATATATAGCATATACATATATGTATGTATTTATTTACGATATATGCATATATGTATGTATTTATGTTATGTATGTTTGGTACAGTACGATATATAATCCTTTCCCAACTTTTCTAAGGTTTCTTGTATTTGTCTGACTTTTCGATCTTCCCAGCGCCCCCCCCCCCCTCCCCCCCCCCCCCCCCCCCCCCCCCCCCTTCCCTTTTTTTTTCATACTGTGCAAGTGCGCTGTTCTTATTCCACACGGGGATCGGGGAAGCTCATGCCCAAGCATAACCAGCACGCCGAGCCTTGTACGTGAGAGGCACGGTAAAAGGGGATCTGCAAGAAGCAACACAAAAGAAAACTTTTTAAAAAAGCCTACGTGAGGAAAGCGGAGAACGATCAGCACAAGGAAGTGGCAATACAAAAAAAAAAAAAAAAAAAAGCTTCAGATTG